CACCTGGGATGAGGGGCTCCAGGGGCAGGAAGCCAGATTCCGGGCAGGCGTCAGCCAGGCTGGCCACAGGCCCATCCGAGTGACCACGGAAGCTGCGCCCTCGTGTGGTGGTGGCGCTGCCCCCCTGGAGGCACTGGAGGGGCCGCTGGATGGACATCCGGGAGGGAAGATGGGCTGGGAGCCCGCTCTGAGCAGGGACTTGAGCGCCCTTCCCCTCCTGGCCGCTTCCGACTCTCCAGTGACGCTGAGCTGGTGCCAGTGATTGGCCAATGTTTCCCCTTTTTGGCAGGAGAAGGGCACTCCCACCCTGAGGGCAGAATCCCACCCCTTTTAGTCAGGAAAATACCTGCCCCCCACCCGGCTAGGGATTGTCCAGGAGAGAATCAGAATGTCCCCCATATTAGGATTTTAATCAGAAGAGCAATTCTTACCATCCCGCCTCACTGCCTTGCCATAAACACATCAAAAGAGGCCTCGGTGTTTGGTGGTGGAGACCAGAGGACCCCACTCGGTTAGTGGGTAACTGTCAAAGTGCAATCGCTGTGTTTTATAGGCTTGGTAAAGTGCCTTCCTACCCTGGAGAGTTCACACATGCAACCTTTTTGTTTACTTAACTTGGCCAGCCTGTTCAAGGCAACTTTAATTTAGAAGGCCTGTCAAAGGCATCTAATTAGAGTGAAATGTAACTTTTCTTTATGGTGCTGTGAGTGTGTCCAATCACTTTCCATCCATATCAAAGTATCCAATCCCCTTCCTGTGTATTCTATTCACCCCCCTTTTGTGCATTCTATATAATAGTGAGGAAATTAACAGGGGGGGTTCCTATTTAGGCACTAATGGATCCATGCATTCAATTGTAAAGAAACCTATTTGCCCTGACAAGAGATTGATTTCGGAGCCTTTTGAAATGCGGATCGGTGTGGCAGCTTTCCCCTGGAGAAGGCGGGGAGACGGGACAAGAGTCCTCCTTCTGATCCCGGGATCACAGCCGACAAGACAGAATCGGGGAGATGCTGTGCTTCCACACAAGCGACAACGGTGAGGCAGGGCCCTTTGACCCTCTCTAGCCAGCACACGCCCTTTTTAGCGTAGAGGATTTTTGGGTGTCCTGGCAAGATACTGGCTGTGAAGGGAGGCCTTCGACTCCTGCGGGGCAACAGGTTTTGGTTGGCAATTGCGTAAGAAGAACCCCATTTGGCTGGTATTTCTGGATTCCAGGAATGTAAGTATCTGATCAGGTCTTTGTGGGTACAGGTCTGGCCAGTGTGAGAGTTGTCCGTTGTGTGACCCTCATTCATTCCCGGAGGCTCCCTGGGTCCCTCTCAACCGATTCTTGCGCAGCCGCACCGATCCTCGGGAAACTCCCGAAAGGTCGAAAGCGAGGGCGTGAGACTGGACTGAGAAACCCAGCCTCGCAGCGCCTGCTGTGCTGCGTGGACGAGGTGTGATTGGAGGCCAGGGGAGAGAAACTGGTTCTGATTTGTTTTGTATTGTCCCATCCAGTACTCGGCGACGGCTGACAAATCGCGACGGCCGACAAATCGGATGGGTGGCTTAAGCTCTAAGGGGGCACTTGCTGCCAATGGAGACTTAACGCCGTTGCAGCGTCTTTTGAAATACTGGGATGTGGTAGGAAAGAAGGAGGAGGATTTGTTCAGGAGGAAACACGTGCAAAGGGAATTGTAATTTCATGGTTTAGATTAGGACTTTGTAGGAGATGTTTTAAGTGAAAGTAGAGGCAAGCGAGCAGATGGATTGTGGCAAGGAAAGAAAAGGGAGAGGGAATCCTGCTTATCCTGAGGGGATTCCCAGAGAAAGAATTGGGAAATGAAGGAGTAAGAGATTTTTCACCTGGCTCTGCTCTTTGAATGGCCTCAATAAAGAGATCGAGGTATGAATCAATGGCCATTTACCAGATCATTTGACTGCGTCCTCATCCAAAATTGGCGTGCCAGGCTGATTAATGTTGTCAAATTTTCTGAGGCAAGTTATAGCGAGATGTTTTGCTTTGCCACTTCTGTATATCGGCATTACATTGCATGCAGGCTGAAGATTGTAACTTTGACAGCAAAGCAGACCAAATCGCAGAGCAGGGACCCACTGAAACAGGGCCCCTTCTGCTCTCAGAGACGACACTCCCAGGAGAGCTTCCCCCATCACACTCTGTTGGACTTGACCAAAATAAGGGAAATGTCTTCA